TCAATATAAAACTTTCCATTTTCTAAGGTCGTCTTGCTGAAGAAACTTGGCGCCATCTTCTATCGCAAGCCAAAGTAATATTTCGTCAAGAACCTAACATAATCTTTCTTCCGCGTGGTTGTACTATTGTTGGAGATATTCATGGACAATATTATGATCTTTTGACAATATTCGAGTTAGGTGGTTCATTGGATCAACAACCATATGTCTTTCTTGGCGATTATGTTGATCGTGGTTCATTCTCTTGTGAATGTCTTTTTCTTCTTTTAGCACTTAAAATTATTTATCCAAGATCATTTTTTCTTTTACGTGGTAATCATGAATCACGTCAAATGACGCAAGTATTTACATACAAAAGAGAATGTAAAGTAAAATATTCAATTGATCTTTGGAATGAGTCTATGTCATTATTTGATTGTTTACCTATTTGTGCTATAATCGATGATCGATTCTTATGTATGCATGGTGGAATATCACCTTATATAAAATCTCTTCATGATATAGAACGAATAAATCGTTTTCAAGAACTTCCATCTGAAGGTCCATTATGTGATATAATGTGGTCTGATCCACATCCACAATTTAGTGCTCAACAAGCACCTCCATGGATATTCAATCATAATCGAAATTGTTCTTTCTTTTTTAATCATAAAGCATGTGAAAAATTTCTTATTGAAAATCGTCTTTTAGCTATTATTCGTGCACATGAAGTTGTACCTAATGGTCTACATATGTATGAACAAGGATCAATGTCACAATTTCCTGTTCTTATTAGTCTTTTTTCTGCTCCAAATTATTGTGATGTATATAATAATCCAGCAGCACTAATTATCTATGATCTTCAACGAAACTTTCGTCCGGTTTATTTTCGTCATCGACCACATCCATTTGTTTTACCAAATCATGAAAATGCTTTTGAATTTGGTAATCGATTTATGAAAATTTATGTAGAAGAAATTATTTTGGCATTAATTCAAGGTAATATAAAATCAATCGATCCTTCTCGAACTAGTGATGTTTATGATGATGAAGCAAGACGTTTGAGAGCACATGAACAAATCTTGGTCGAACACATACATAAATGTCAACATATTAATAAAATGAATATTCAATTGGGTAATTTAGCACCACCAGAACAATTACAAGAGAAGGCATTAAATAATCAATATGTATTTGAACAAGAAGTTCCTGTACTTACCAAATCATTAGAAACCGATCCATCATTGACATTTGATTCAGCATCAAAAATAGATGCTTTGTATGAACAACGAACATATTAAATTTATCTTTTTTTTTCATTTTTTGTTAATAAAGAAATAAAGAGAAAAAACAATAAAAAATGACAAGAGCAAAAATGAATAGCATTTTTTTGTTATAATATGTCGTGAATGTCCCTAATAGCGACGGAGACATTCATTTGTTTTGTCTCACTCGATGAAGGACTATTTTACGTTCGATTGAAAACACTTTGATGTATGGATATGGCTGTGAACGTGAGTCTACTCGTCATTCACATCTATACCCAATATGGACCGTATTCTAGAGGCATCTAATTATTCAGCATTTACTAAAAAACATGATACAGATGCTTAAAAAGTCTTTGCATTACATTCATTTGCTTTTTTCGTTCCTATATGAGTCAATCTAAATCATTTGTCCGACTAATTAAGTCTAAATAAAATAGTCGGTGTAAGATATTAGAAAAGTCTAGATACTCACCATTCCTCTGGATGACATTCCAGACTAGTTCACTCTCTTCTCTTTTATTAGTTTCAATTACATATTTAATGAACAAGCGCCACTATGCTGTTTAAACTGTTTAGACTGGCATCGATCTCTCATTAAATCGTCGTTTGCCATTAGAAGACCCATAAAATGCCGAGTATTGCCGGATCATATCTTCCAACCTATCTTTTCTCTCGCTTTACTGTTCTGCAGACTACTCTGAACGGAATGAATTGACAGAATGGACTAAAATGATAGATGTAAATATAGTTTGGACTAGTTCAGACATAGTTAAAGGACATTTCTTAGAAAGGTGATCGGTCCTGACGGGTAAGTAAGAGACGTTTCAGACTACGCCTAATAGGTAGTATGAATATTTCAGACTTATCTTGTTGAGTGTCCTCACTTGTTTTTTTCTTACTTGGATGTAGATATCAAAAGTTTTTGATACGCCGTATGAAATGCGAAAAGTCAAAGATCAGTAGAAATCTCGTGGTGTCGCACACTACGTTTTCTTATCCGTAACTGTCATAATACATTGTCTGTTTTTCGTGTCTACCGTGTGAGTTCTATGAAACGAGTTCGCTCTTCCCGTCAATCTCTGTAGGATACGTGGATCTCGCTGAGAGTCCGTGATTGCTGCAGTCGGTCGTCTTGTCATACGCTCACATAAAAATTCACAGACATACTCACGCCCAATCGTATCCATAAGTCTAAAAAAAAATATCCAATAAGTGTATGCCTTTCTGTTCTCTCTAAAGTCTGCAGGTCAGATCAGGCTGAAAAAATGGTCTGTGGACAGCTCAGATGCATAATGAGTACTTACGATCGACTATTATCCTACGTAATTGAGAGGATCGAATATGAAAAATTAACTGAAAGAATCGGTTTGTTGTGTTTTATTTTCTTCCTTAGCATAGGCAAATCTCTATACTTGTTTGAACACATTTTGCTATTTTTCACGTAGACATTCAAGAGTTATTTTGTCTATTATTTTAAATACAACTTTTAAAATCACTTGCATACATGTTTTATTAGAAGAAGTTTTCCTTATTCCTATCTAATTAGATCAATTCTAATTTCTTCTTAGTCTCATGTCTTTCCTATGCATCTTCTTATTGATTATTTCTATTGATGATACGTTAGAAGATTTTTACTGATATCTATTGATTGATTTTTAATTTACTATTATTCAAATCAAGTAAATGTTTATCTAAAGTATATATATCGCACAATTATTTATTGATTATGATTGTAATAAATTTGATGTATTGGTTTTTATTATACTTTTGTACATGTTCCGATACAAGATCTGAAGTGAAATATTGACGACTTTATTTAAATTAAAATATGAGCTAGTACATGTTAACTATGACCGATTCTGCTTGACTTATAGATCTCAAAATTTTGCATTCATCTTGAAGGAATCTTCATCTTGATAATGTTTGGAGAAAGATTTAAGCAATATTTAATTTATTTATTCGACAAAAAATTATTAAAAGATTTGAATATATCGATATAGAAATCTACGATAAAACTAATCACATAAGTCTATATATGAAACAACATGCTGTACATGATGGAATAGATTTCATGTACATGTAAAACTTTGATTAGACAGTTCTGTATGATAGAAAGTCGTAGCTTACGTCTAACGGCTATTATATCGTCGGTTCCTACAGTTTAATTGATGTATACAGATGTTTGTAATTCTTATATGTACTTCAAGTTCAGGTATAATTTTTTCAATGAAATAGCAAAATGAAATATATTCGTCTTACTCAAAAGAATATTTAAAGACAGCGTATAATCAATAATAATAGAGATAAATATTCATTTATGTCTTTCTTGATAAAAAAAACTTAATCATTGCTGACTGCATAATTTCTTCTGACAATAATCTACATTATTTTCGAACGCTAAAACTTGTCTTTATCGTCATAGACAATATGCTTGGATGAAGAAAATCAAATCGTCTTATATACTATTAAAACAACAAAAATACATTCAATGTAAATTAAACAACAGTAAAATTACAAAAACAAGCCTAATGTTTTTACTTTATTGCATATGTGAGAACATTGAATAAAAGAAAAAATAAATTATAAGCAATTGAAAACTGTTCTCAAACACGAGGAAAAAGAAATTTGATTGAATAAGCAATTTTATTAATAACATATTATATGCATTGATCGATAAGAATCAATCAAGGTTAATTTGACATTATACTCAATTTTCTTTCTATCTGATTTCAATCGAATTGTCATGCCTCGTCCAACGTCGTCATATAATTTATTAAATTGACCATTTGATACTTTTAATGGATCGTATTCACATTGATGTATGACCTTTTGTCAACTGTATTGCTGGTTTGCTTAAAAAAAAATAGTACTGTTGGACGTCCAATAATCTTAATTGATTTCTGTCTTTAGCACTTATGATTTATCTTCAATGTATGCGTGTAAAATATCATCTTTATCAAATGACAGTCGCTCCTTCAGTGTAGATGCAAATGAGACTAGACTGATAGTCCTATGAAGAACGGGGTATGGATATTTTTGTTATACGTTTGAAATAGAGATGCAGTTCGACTCCTAAATTAAGTAGATAAATGGACGAATACGTCTTCTAATATAATACAGAAACATGCAAACAATAGTGTTTGTACAATGTGATATGTGAACGTTTCTCATTGTTGTTATCGATTGTCATATGCTTATTATCAAGTTGTCGTACATAACAAAAGGAAAACAAGTAAAAATCATATATTATTTGATTATAACTATAATCAAAATAGTATAATCTTTCTCAAAATTCTTTCTATCTTCGATAATAAAAACTTTTTTTGTAAAGGTGAATAGAGTGATTTCGTATATTAATCGTGCACAAATTAGTCTTTTTTTTTTTATAGATTCTTTTGATTTTGTTAATTTTTGTTTTAATATTTAACTTGAATGGATATATAGCTCACAATGATTCTACATGATAAGAGACATAGAAGAATATATAGAACGATCAAATATGATTCAAAATGAAGTGGAGAACTTTTTCTTTATTTTCTATTATAAATTATCATTGAAAACGTAAAAGAATAAATATTCAAAGTAATTTATTCTTCACTGGGATGATGATAATTGTGATGTTGTTCTTCGTATTAATCTTCTTCCAGAAGAAATGTGCCACCCGATCCATATTTTTCCTCAGCAAGTTGATGTGATTGCTTAATAGCACGAAGTTTTGCCTCTTCCAGATCTAGAAAGTCAATTCCCTTTGTTTCAAAAAAGTTTTTCAACTTCGGCTACTGCTAAGCTGGCAAGCATTTCTTTCATCTTTGGATGTGATAATTGTGTACCATTACTACGAACATACTCTTCGTAAGCTTTCATAGCTAAATAAATAAAAATAATTATAATCAGATTAAGTGAAAAATGTGTTTATGAATAGAGAATTTTATTTTCTCTTTGTTTTGATTTTAATCACTTAAAAATCAATGAATTCTCTAATATTTTATATCTTGACTCTTCATCAAAAATTGTAAAATAAGAGAAGATGGTAAAAATTTCCAATTAACTTCAGTCAAAATGAAAATAATGTGAATATTACCGGCAAAACCAACTCCACCGGCAATAAGTTCATGTGTCCATGATGTATGTTCCCTAGGCTCTGGTCCGAAAATAGCTCCATGAGCTTGCATACTATCATCCATATTGAAGAGATCATCATAAACAGCCATTTTGTTATTGATGGTTACGTGTCACACTTTATAATAATACAACAAAGGAGAAACGCCCAATTATTTATACCTTCATAACGAACAAGCAAACGAAAAACAAGAAAAAAAAATGCTTTGCTTTGCTTGATTAGTCCATAAATAAAGTGTAACGTTGATTGCATTCGAATATGGTGAAAAAGGACATCGATAATCGGTGTTATGGGACGTTTCAGTCATAATTTGCTAATAAGGACAACAACAAAAAAAATCAACACAAATTCATATTTCTATTGATGATGGTCTTAGAATCAAATAGACACGACTCTAACAATGTTACTCAGAGTTCGATGTTGAATAGAAATTCTTTCATTTGTATTGAATCTCTTTAGTTTAATTGAATCAAGCATCTAATCAACTATACATATTTATTCTAAATAAGTTGAATGAAAAACAATCATACTCTTCATTTATTTGGAATACTATTAATTAATGCAAATACTTTATTCGTGTTAATTTAAATATAGAAAAAGAAAACTATCGTACAAATTGATCTGCTTTAGTACTCATTGCTCGTTAACAATATTGTTTCAGATTATATGTGCACCTTTGAAAAATGAATCATTGATAATATTTATATTTATTTAGTTGTTATTTTTTCTTTTTCTAAATGACTATTACAAAATATTGAATATAGACATTACTCAACTAACGATTGACTAAATTTTTAGATAGAATAACAATAAAATAGCAAGATTAAAATTATTGTATTTGAATAAATTGGAATTGTCGATCAATAATACAACAGCACTAATTATCTATGATCTTCAACGAAATTTTCATCATCGACCACATCCATTTGTTTTACCGAATCATGAAAATGCTTTTGAATTTGGTCATCGATTTATAAAAAATTTATGTAGAAGAAATTATTTTGGCATTAATTCAAGGTAATATAAAATCAATCGATCCTTATCGAACTAGTGATGTTTATGATGATACAGCAAGACATTTGAGAGTACATACATAAATGTCAACATATTAATAAAACGAGTGTCCAGTTGGGTAACTTAACACCACCAGAACAATTACAAGAGAAAGCGTTAAATAATCAATATGTATTTGAACAAGAAGTTCCTGTACTTACCAAATCATTAGAAAACGATCCATCATTGACATTTGATTCAGCATCAAAAATAGATGCTTTGTATGAACAACAAACATATTAAATTTATCTTTTTTTTTCATTTTTTATTAATAAAGAAATAAAGAGAAAAACAATAAAAAATGACAAGAGCAAAAATGAATAGCACTTTTTTTCGTATAATGTATAGGTAATGACCCTAACAACAATGGGAAAAATTTCATTTGTTTAGTTTGACACACTTCATGGCCGTTTTACATTCGACTAAAAATATGATGGGTGTGGGTGATAGGAAGATTCCCGTTGACATCCACAACATCACGACGCAATCTCAATTAGATATCATTCATTGTTGTTTTATGGTATCACTTTTCAATATTATCCGAGCTAATTCATATCTATTTTAGCACTTCGTAAGCAAATTTCTTTCTGGTGAATGATTTACCTTATTATATTTTTTCACAGATAGAAAATGAAAGAAAGAGAAGAGTTTTTCAATTCAATCGATCACTGGTAACTGCTGTGATTGTCATAAGGGGGAAAAATCAGACTTTTGGACTTGAAGTTACTTAAAAGTAAAGGATGATTCAAAAGTTTCGACCCCTCTCAGTAAATCGATGATATCTATAACAAACTTATATGAAGTTATTGATCAAATTATATCATTTTGTAGAGGAAGATTCGAGCTATCATCTGAAAAGAAAATAGTTCGAAATACATATATTTCTTAGAATCCTATGATCATTTTACTAATCTGGAGTGAAAATTTTTACCTTACATTTTTTGAAAAAAAACTTTAATGTTTGAATCGTTAAAGTCGAGCCAAATATTATTTTCTACATGTTTTCAATAGATATTTGTATGTAATTCGATAGAGTTCAACAAGCTCGACAAATATATGAATATTAAAAAAAAATGCGAATCCTCTTTCCAATATAAAACTCGATTGAAACCACGCAAACTAATAAAAATCTTATATATCTCTCATGAGATAATATGCTTAACTTTCAAAAACTTTAGTTGACCGACTGTTAATTGATATTTCGAGATGCAGTATTACATACTGAAGCTGAAAATACCTCTTCTGAGCTGCCTGAATAGATGGAACAGTCAACCAACTAACACTTTTGAAAGATCAACTTACTTTCCCTGATATTTGATACATGAAATTTTTATTAGTTTTTCTGATTTCTTTTAAGTTTTATATTGAATATAAGATCAAAATTTTTGTAAATATACATATTCTTGTAGAGCTTGTCGAACTCTCTCGAATCATGTAAAAATATCTAAAATACAATATGTTGCTTAAGATGTTACAAATATATTTTGTTTTTTTTTAAATGTAACGTAAATATTTTCACTCTAGATTAGTAAAAATGACCAAAATATTCTAATAAATTTATGTATGTCGAACTGTTTTATTTTCAGATGATGGCTCGAATCTTCCTGTAAAAAATGATATAATTTGATCAATAACTTCATATAAGTTTGTTATACATATCATCGATTTACTGAGAGGGGTCGAACCTTTTGAATAACCCTTTATTTCATCTACTTGTTCTTACGTTGGACTACTTGAGTGGTACTTTGAGCTACTTCAAGCATGTACTTTGATGTACTTTTCTACTTCAAATCTGTTTTTTTCCTCTAGGATTGTCATCAAATATAGAAAAAATAATATTTTGCTTACATGCATCATCTACGTTTGTTTTTTCATAGTCAAAATAGAAGAAAAGAGCCCTTTAATTTTATTCATTAATCGTTACCGTTTTTATTATCCCTTAGATAAAGAAAAAAAAAAGCTTTTTTCTCTCTATGTTGTTCGCCTGTACTTTGTCACAGACAGACTAGAGGAGAGAAAAAGATAGAGTTGATTACTTATTCCATAGACAGAAGAAATGGGGACCACCAATAGATTACGTTGATCACAGGTAAATAGCTTTACCTCAACTAAGGTATAGAGAAAAATAAATATTTTTTCTCTTTGCATAGTTTGCCTGTATTGTTCATGGACAGAATAAAAGAGAACAGCATACAAATTAAATCAGTCACATGTAAATAGTTTCACCTCGCGACAGGTAGAGCGAAAAAAAAAATTATTTTTCTCCACATGATCTGCCTGTATTTTTTCATAGACAGAATTTTAAATTAGAGCCTATAGATTAAATGTATTGCAGGCAACTGGTCTTATCTTTTCCTCGGTATACAGAAAAAGAAAACATTTCACTCTTTATTGATACCCATTTTTTTTTCTCGTTTTACTCTTTCGAATCGTACTGCTACTGACCCAATTTTTACCTTAATCTTTTTGTTTTGTAAATAAATACCGTCGAACAGTAGGATGAAAAAATGCATTTAACTAAACATGTAATAATCATAGAGAGATTCTTCATGAGTTCGGTATAACATTCTTATCTTATCAGTAGCATTATATTTTGCTGTAGCTTACCAAAGAGTGGGTGAGAAACTAGAACAAGTAAATATTTGACAGTCTTTCGTCTCCATTTCACAACAATGAAGTGAAAAAAGTTGAGAAAGTATGTTTCGATGCATGGAAGATCAGTTCGTTGCTAATAAATAGCAGAAAATATTGTTTATCTTTATGATATTATCCTATCTGTGCTTGGACAATGACTAATATTGAGCAACAGAAATAAATGTATTGCAAGCTCCTTTTTTTTGCTTCTTTATATAGATGTCATCGGAGACACCCGTCTATGTACAGCTAGGACCAAGAAAATGGGAATTAGGTGGTGAATATTTGAAACTGTTGGAACCATGCAACCACTGTTTGGAAACAGAAGATGTCGGTAGTGCTCTACGAAACCAACTCAATGATAAAGGCTATATCTATTTGAAGAAAGTTTTACCAGAGGAAGATGTATTGAAAGTAAAAATAGCTGGTATTACTTCATTCCATAATATATAAAGATAATCGATTTTCATGCTATGATTTTTATTTTCCCTAGTTCTCAAATATCTGCAGCATCTGAACGATACAGGACTTATTAAAAAACCGATATTTTCTTCGTCGTATAGTGATGGTATCTTATCTGATGATTGTGATGTTGGTTGCATTCCCAGTTTGGAAGGAAGTAACCCTATCACTAATGATCCTGCAGTGCTTCATATAATTGAAAACCCTTATTTATATGATATTTTTACTTCTATTTTCCATGGTATTCATCCTATTACATTTGACTATAAATGGTTGAGAACGATGCACCATGGTGGTAACACTGGTTGTCATCTGGATCGAGTGTATATGAATCGAGGTTCACCAGAATTACTAACATGTTGGATTCCATTTGATAATCTTACACTCGATATGAGTGTACTAGCCGTATTGGAAGGTAGCCATCGAATGGATAGACCTGAAAATGATGCATATACGAAACTACAGCATACTTATGCTGATATGGATGTAGAAAGGGATAAATTACAAGGAACAGGATGGTTCACCGAAGATCCAATGGATTTTTATCATTTGGATGATGCATGTCAACCATGTGATTCAAATCCCATTTGGAAGACAACAGGTAATTTGAAACAAAATAAAACATTTTTTGCACGCTGATATTTTGCTATTTAAGAAAGTATAGTCTAAATACAAATCTTGTTTTTAATGATTGTTTCTGTGAAAACTGATAATTCATTCATTTTTAGCTTTTTCTGCTGGTGATATTCTTATCTTTACAATACGTACAATTCATATGTCTTCAGTAAACTTAACCAATAAACTACGTATCTCATGTGATACGCGCTGGCAACCATCAGATCAACCAGCAGATCCTCGATTTATTGGACTAGTGAAGAACAATTTAGTTGGACATGGTGATGCCAAATTTGGTCTTTATGCAAAGGATTCGAAGAAGATTGACGATGACAAGACAACTATAGAACAATGGCGAAAGATATGGGGATTTCCGACAAGAACAGAAAAATGATTCAATCATTTCGCTTCTCAAAAATGACTTTATTCAATTGTAACTATTGCTAAAGTATGATAATAAGCTATACATTTGAATATAAACTGTAATCTTATTTTTTAATGCTCTTTCTGAAACAAAGAAGAAAACATTAAGCTATAGATTTTCAAGTACTTAGTTTGTATTGATGTTGTAAATGAGTTTTGCTACAACTCATCTCATATAAAAATGTGTTAGATCAACAATCAAAAAGTTGTCGCATCAACAATGACGAGAGAACGTCTTCAACTTTTAAATCGCTTTTTGATTGAGTATATGCGCAAACAATAGTCCTCAATGAGCTATTAGATAGTCTGCTGGAATTTGGATTTCCAGGTCTCTTAATCTGAGATATACGATTATTATTATTATTAGTTTTGTAGTACTACTATACTAATTTATTTGATATCTTGACTAATTAAGATCGCAGAGTTTGAAGATAAATCATTGTTTCTTATCGAAGATATCTGTTTTGTCTCATGGATTGACTATAAAAAACAGTATGTGCTCTCGCTGAATGATGCAAATATTGATTTGTTTAATACTTTCAACATACATTCATTTCTTAGTGAATATGTATATAGAAATATCAGCTCATTTATCAATACTTTGATTAATAATAATTGGAAGAATGAATTCGTGTACTTTTCACTTTTTGAACATACGGTACTGATATACTAAACTTAATTTCCGAAAGATGCCGATATTTTGCATGTGTATTTCAATGACTGAAATAAAATATTTTTTTTTTGTTTGAATACGTTCTTTGAACAGAATCATTGACGATCGAAATCGGCAAGTCAAGATGATTGTGTACTGATGTAGTTGACTAGAGAATAGATTTCTACTACTATTGCACATATGATGAGTGTGATTTTTCCTCATGTTTGTTCATTGGATGAAGTTTATTGTGACTATATTTTATGTATTGAACATTTTTTCAACAACTCTCACTTCTATTGATGAAATGAGTTACTCCATTTTCATTGTTTCGGTTGATTCTTTTCTGATTTATAAACATGTCACTGAAAATAGTACACATTCATTCTTTAGATTATTATTAACTAAAGTATTGACAAATGAGTTAGCATTTCTACAGACATATTCACTAAGAAATGAATATGTGTTGAAAACATTAAATGAATCAATACTTGTATCATTCAAAAAGAGCACATACTGTTTTTTTATGATCAATCCATAAGACATACCCGATATCTTAGATAAGAACCAATGATTTATCTTCAAACTCTGCGAACTTCATCAGTATTGAGTACTTTAGTATTAATATAAATTTTAGGCAGATAGGAACATGTTTAGTCAAGATACCAAAGATATTAGTATAGTAGTACTACAAAACTAATATTAGTAATAATCGTATATTTCAGCTTAGGTAGTCTGGAAAAATAAACTCCGGTAGGTTATTTAATAACTCATTGAGCTCCACTGTTTGAGTATACATTCTATCAAAAAGCAATTTAACAGTTGGCGACCTTCTCTTGTCAACTCCCGAATAACTTGCACACAGATTATACACGCGTGCTTCATTGTAAATCTTGCGTAACATATTAAATCGAATTCTTGGACTGATTGTGATTATCCAATATAGAGTTTATTCAAGTAAGTTAAAAAAAAACACGTTAATTGATATTAGTCTCTTATTTTTATGTATATCTTCTTTGATAACGAGCCCTTTGATTCTGCTGATGCACACTTTCATAAATTTGTGAACTAGAATTTGTTGCTGTGGAATATGTACCACGTTCAGTTGCATGCTGCATGTAAGCATTGTAGTGTGCCGAACGATAATCTCGTTCAGTTGGATAGCGGTGTTCAAGATCTTTAATTAGTTGTTGACAGAATGGATCTCGAGCTGAGACACTAGTCTTAATATTTTCAACTTGATTTTTGAGCAAGGCGAGTGATCGACTATAATTTTGTTCAGTCATAGCTCGTTTGAGTGCAAGTGCAGTTTCTATGCGATTTCGTTGAAGATCAATTGTATAACTAACTCGAAGGTGCTCAGATGATAGATTTGACGCTCGAATGAGATGAAACGGAACAGGTATTGTAGTTAACGTACGGCCACTCTTCGGATCAACATAGCGGACTGAGACTTGACCTAATCAGATGTAAACAAAATTTAAGTAAGTATTCATTGAAAATGAAAATATGAATGATTGAATTTCCCCTCTTCAGATGAGACTGTCAAACATAATACTACGATTGAAAACAAATTATCAGCTTACCAATTACATGATTTGAGACAGATCGCTGTTGTTCTCGATAGTGATATTCTGAAGAAGATTTGTTTTTCCCTTTAGGTACATATAGCTGAAAAACGAGATTTCGTTTTTCGTCAGCGTTGAGATCGTTTAACTTGAAAGTAATCTTCGAAGAGGGTAGTCGTTCAGATTCATATTTATATATGGAATGAGCATGTATCACTTTGTACTCGCCATTGAATTCAAGATTAATACGAATATTTTGTGCCACACACGTCAATAGACCAGCCAGTGCCATGGCAAATGCTGGACCCACAGCTTCATGTTTATCCTATTTAAAAGATTTATATCAGTTACTACATGCTTTTATCCTTTTTAATCAAGTGAGTCTTCTACATTTGATGTAATGAAAGCAAACGGATGACTGCGATATGTCACATAAGACTGTAATAGATGTCTCTGTGTTCTAAAATAAAATCTGAAAATGGCAGATCGATATCAATAATCATTTTGAAAAGAGACTGTATTCGTCATTGTCTAGTGTCGAATTAATAAATATCACGAGTTCCTATTTCTCTAGTAGACTGGCCATCATGCGACGATATGTTTTTACGCGCCGATATACTAAATCACTCTAGTACAATTTTCGGATGTAAACTAAAGGTGTGCGCTATGTATTGGATTAGTTGGAAACCTAATTTGAACGAATCATTGGTTAAGTTATCGATTGATACTATTTTTTCTTAACTGTGACAGAGGCATTGTGTTGAATCTTGCAAAAATGTTTCAAGTAAAGTAAAACAGTTCTTTGAACTTACAATGTAAGTGAAAGTGCCGCCATTGCCTTGTTCTGTAAGTTGTACTAATAAATCAGCTTCATGATCTGATCCATAGCCAAATGTATGACAAACTACATCTTCAGGCAATCTTCTTATGACATGAGAATAATCGTGTACTTCATCATCTTGACCATCAGTGAGTAAGAATAAAGCACTTATGGGATTTTTTGTTTGACGACGTCTGAACATTTCAATGCCCATTTCTAAACCGCATCCGATATACGTAGAAAATCCATCTTCAATATCATCATTGATCACCATGTTCAATTTGCGTTTACTAAATATTTTAAAAAAAAACATCATTTAACCATTAATAATATAATTCTATGCGGTGCATAATAAATAATTAAAAGTCGTGTAACGTATTTGGACACATTGATACACGTAAAAAATATAGTACACTACAGAACAGTCTACTGTTCTTCTTTTTTCTCCTGTACTTCAATATCTTTCATCAAAACTTATTATGTTCTCTACACAATCGACCTGGTATTCTAGATCTGGCTATGATGATTAGTCTTGCACTCATGTTTTAGATGGAAGTTGTGTTCAAGATTATTGTCCTCTTCTGAAAACTAACTAGCCAAGTTTTAAAATAATTATAGACCAAGAAAGCGCGTCAAACACGAGATTTACCAGTATGACTTATTAAGAATGCTGACAATTGGTTATTATCGAATTCACAGTATTCAGTTTTTGTGATTTAATGATAGTTTTTAATTACATGCAGAAAGTCTCTTTTTTCTTCGATGATCACTTCATTCGTCTCTTCTCTCATCCATTTATGACAGTAATATCGTCGAACAATAGAAACGGAAGAAACAGCACCTACTCTCACTTTCAACGAGTCACTTGTTCATATTGGATAACTTTTGCATTTTACTTCTGTCAAACTATATCATATATAAAAACTATTTTTAACCAGCTCCAAGCTGTACTGAACTAAGCAGAAGTAGATTTACTTGTTTTCATTCATTCGTTTCAATCCATGAGACCGATCATAAGCATGGTCATCAAATGAAATAATGGCCAATCGATCGAGATCGGTCAATTGTTCAGTAATATACATTAATGTTTGTTTTAATAAGATCATTTTGGCACCAGACATGGATGCACTTTGATCAACAACACAAACAAGATCAATTGGAACACGTGATAATGATGATGATCGGCGAATAGAAGGTGTTTGAAGGGTAACAAGTCCATATATGTTTGATTCTTGATGAAATGGTTGTCCTTTGAATTCTAGCTTTGTAGAAACAGTTATTGCAGCAGGATTAGACGAATTTGAGGATGCATAGATTTGTCGAGTGGTAGCAATTTGAGCGGCAAGTGCTTGAATAGCCGTCTCATCGACTAAATCTTCCACTGAAGATGGAACCTGTTTAAAAGTAACAGATAGTATTCAATTATGCTTTCATGAAAAAAAATAATTGACATTAGACACAATCAATTGATAGGTAAGAGCTAGTAAAATGCTTGATTTGGTCGACAACTTTATACATTTGGAAGAGTATTCAGAAAACGGTGAAGCGACTAGCAAGTTAAAATTTTATATTTTTGGAAATAGATCAAACAAACTACTGTAGAGAACTCTTACGTATGAGAGGTACTTTCACCTATACAAAATGGATGATAAAAGAAAAATTTAAAACGACATTACCTCGTCAGAGACTCGAGAAGTTAAAGAAATACTAAAAAATAAGAAATAAATAATATGATCCACATTGAAGAGATTTCCTATTTGAAGAAACAAGTGTACTATTATAAATCTTTTTCAGGAGAATCGAAAATTGAGATCAAAAAGTTTAAAGTGACCAATGGTAAAGTTTTTTATGTGTAACTCAGTGAATACCTGACAATATGGACAATATGTTTTCAATATCTCTGTCTTGCATCAGTAAAACATGCGTATTTCTTTTAAAAACTGTTGAGCAGAAGTGAAATGTTCTCAAGAAGAGATGAAATCACACAAGTACAATAGTGAATAGTTCGAAATTGTCTCAATCGAATATTTCGATATACATGAGATAAACATTGATAATGAATAAAACCAAAATGTTGAATAAATTATTGATTTGTAGTAAATAGATAGAGGAAGAAATTTAGTAGAGATCAGATATCGAAATCTCTGTCATCAGTAAAACGGAAGTCTTACGTAATATCTGTAGTGATTCAGAAGTAGATATGACTAATTGAAAGGTTGATTTGACTATAACAGGCTGAGAAAAGTGAAAAATGACTCATGTATGTCTACCTTTTCTAACACTGAGATGAAAAAAAAACATATTTTAGTAAATGAATTCAAGTATTGAGATGTCAGATGGAGAAATAAGTTATCCTTGAAATTAATAAATAATAAATACATATGATATATTCTGAGAGCTGTAGAAAGACTTCGATGGTTAAAAACAAGTGAGTCAATCTCCACCAAAGTCCTCAGACAATTTTTTTTCTTGCTGATACATCTTTTCATTTCAAAGGGTTGTTTTCTTTCTTTTCCTTGCTGTTTAAAATTCAGCAACAACTATTACAATACAGATTGTGTGTTGGTCTTTGACTGGTATACAAATATCTTTTTCGAGTGAGCTAACAGTCTCTACACTGTTATCATTATACGTTCTTTGGAGATCTCTATGAAACATATCAGTCAAATAAAATTGTAATGCTTGTATGCAATAGATCTTAGTCACTCTCTTTTATATAACGATATTTTTCTTTGGAATAATTTTCATGAAAGAAAAAAGCATCATGTTGGTTAGTTTTTTCTAGTAGCCGTTTAAAACCATCGATAAAGAAACACGAATCTCTTCTTTTTAAATGAATACCTTTTATTTCAGTGCATTCGTTCTAAACAGAAGGAAGTAGACACCACGCTTACTTTTTTTCTCGTCTGTATTTTTCTTTTCTTTCCTTTTTGTTTTTCTCCTTGTCCTCTCAATTATTCCCAAGTATTGCAAAACTTAAAGTCGTAATGACAAAACTATCAATGCATGGAATTTGTTGTACTTGTGATACTGTTTCTGCTTGAAACTCTGATCTATTCCTATTTTCTTCAAATATATGTCATCACACTCGAATTTTATACCTAAGTGCCACAATAAACAACAAGAGATATTAAAGATTTCACTTACAGATAGATGTCTAGGATGATATTGATGTTCATCATAAAAACTTACGCGATATGAATACGTATACATCTGCCTCTGTTGTGGTTGCTGAGAACGATGATGAGTTCTAGACAATAATTGAATGATTGACGCATCGATTGTCGCTCGACACAATGGACATTTGGTATGTTGTGCTATCACGGTAGATGTTAAGCATTGAAAATGGAATTTGTGTTTACAAGATAGAGTGATCAGTGATGTGCCTGATACTAAGGCACTCAGACAAATCGAACATTTGTCTGTAGCTGCATATGTCGATTTATAAGAAGCCATTCGAAGGATAGTTTTTATCTCGTCGTATTACGTGCGTGAAAATGAAAAAACTGAAAATAAATCAATCACTTGGTTGTTTACTTCTCTAATTAACGATGTCATTGCATCATATCATTTTAATCATTCTACCGTGTAAATAATATATGCAACACATTGAAAGAAAGTGAATCATTTTTTTGCCGACATATTTATTACAATAAATTTCCAATGTAGTAGTATGAATGTTGTAATCAACATTGAAAAACAAGTGAAATTTCCTATTCAGCTTGATTAAATATTGTAAAATAAGCATTTCATGAGTTTTCAGCACCTACCTACAAAATACTTTTAAATTTACGATCTACTAACTTTTTACAGTGTGAGTGTGGTGATTTGGAAGAGTCTTTGTGTGTAGATTTTTATTTGTCTGCACTTACACCCACATCCACACCCTCAAGTAATCATGTTAGAAGCGACGTAGATTTGTATATCAATTCATGTTCTAAATTAATAAAGGTATTCCTCTTCTAAAATTAATCTTTGGGTGAAACTTCTCATGATGTAATTGAAATAACTGAGCAGAAAATTTTTCACCTCACTAACAACTACTTTAAAGTGCCTGTAACTTTGCACAAAATCTTACTGTTGGATTCATGATTAGATGACAGCAGAAACGTAATAATTTGATTGACTAATCGATAGAATGAGTATGCCTGATGCGAGTATAAATACAATATGTGTATTCTTGGAACGAGTATGTGAGCCTGAATGCGATTGGATAGCTGATTTGGATAATCGATGCAATCAGTCAGCTTGCTTGATAAGCCTTACGCCATAACATTGTTGTTCGATGAATGATTATCAACGAAGAAAAATGTAGATGAATGGAAAAAACTAACTAAAACAAAGTATTGCATTGATACGACAAATCCATTTGCACATCTTTTACATGCATGCTGTGTTTGATGAAGAAATAATAAAAACTGTTTGTATACTGATCATAGTATATGAGCAATCAAGTACGTCTAACCTTATGACTATTTAGTAATTACTCATCTCAAAGCTATCGACAAAGCCGGCATACTTAGTTAACCTGTATATTGATAAAATGAAAGATATCCATCAATGAAGAATACTATTTAGGTTTCTCGATAATTCACTAGGCAAAGTTCGATCTCTCTCAATAAACAAGCTTAATTCTGAGATACAAGAGAGCAGGTTGAGAATTTATTGAAATGTTTATTTCTTCTGCATTGAAGAGATACGACCATAACGATCCCCTATCATACAAAGATATATTACAAAAAAATGTGAAAATACAAACAACAATTGAAAAAACCTATGCTCCATCATCACATTTATATAGTACATATATACAGCAAAGAGAATACTGCGACGTCGGACATAGAAACTGTTCGTAAGATACGAGATTATTATATAAACTTTTACTGAATCACGTTTAGTAGTGGTCAAAGATGAATTGACGTTCAGCATGATCGTTGATACCCTCTGCAAGTATCAACATCAAAAGTACACGTGCCTTCCATGGATTGAGCGTACCAGCACTGAGAAAATCAACCTGATTATCGAGCTCATCATGCGACACGTGACCGTAACTTACACGAGACGAGCGCACGATTGCAACACCTTGTTTTACTGCGTCTATTGCCGCCTGTTGCAGCGACATGTGGATCGTTCCATCGCCAGTGCCTGCAATCACGATCCCTTTCACACCTTGCGCAACGAAAGCATCGATTGCTGCCCGTGACGCTTCGGCATAACTCATGACGATTTCGACTGAAGGCAACTTCGACAATTTTTGTATAGTAAATCGACTCTGTGTCGTATTCAAATGCATCCCTACGACACTGCGCTCAAAATGTACCATGTTACCTTTTATCCAGCCGAGAGCACCAAATTCACTTGCCCGAAACGAATCGACAGAATAAGTGTTGATTTTAGTCACATCATGTGCACTAAAAATTTCGTCATTCATGACGACCAGTACGCCTTGTCCTTCCGCTGCCTTACTTCCTGCAACAATCACAGCTTCTAGCAAATTGAGAGGCCCATCAGCAGACACAGCAGTTGCTGGTCGCATCGCTGCAGTGAGAACAACGGGCTTTTTACTCTTGACGACCAGATGTAAAAAGTAGGCTGTTTCTTCCAACGTATCTGTGCCGTGTGTAATGACGATACCATCGACTTGATCGCTTGCGAGCAGATCGTTTACGTGAATCACAAGTTTTTCCCACAAGTCAATTGTCATGTCCTTGCTGTCGATATTTGCCACCTGCTCGGCTTGAATTCGAGCGACTTTTGAAAGCATTGGTACGGCTGCCAATAATTCTTCGATACTGAGTACACCTGCTCGATAGGCTCCGGTCAACTCAGAATCGTTGGTTTGACCAGCAATCGTGCCACCTGTCGCCAAAACGGTGACACGTGGTAAGTCTTGGTCTAAAAAGAAATGTTCGTTAGACACGAAGTATGTTTCAATTTCTGATCAGTATAGATATCAATGCATTGTGATTGAAGAGGAGTACTTCAGAAAAAGCTAAAAGCATGATCAGATGAGATATTCAACTTACTTTCTTATAAAAATAATGTGTAATTAACTTAATCATATCTCTGATGCTCAATACCAGGAAAACTTAGACTTTTGAAGCGTATATAAGATTATGATCAAGTTGTCTAAAAACTTTCATGGTACATTTCTAGTTCTTTAATTGAAGTATCTAACATAGTCTTAGTTCATACTTAGAACTCTGATAGTTGTTTGCTTATCTTATTACTCCAAATCTGCGTTCTATAAAATTGCAAATAAAATAGAAACTGTCAATCAGTAATCTACAGAAATGTATTTCATATTTTTCAAGTAATCCAACCCGTTTGATTTCTAATGTCAGAATGATTTATGAATTTTTCCGCAATTCTATAGTCAGTGGTATAGCTCACAAGTAATAATAGTAACTGAATTATATGATCATGTTATTTTCGATAAAGTGTATCGTAGTATTTATGCAAAATTGTATTTCCGCTGAGTAATTTAAAAATGATGTATTTGATACCTGCAAGTGTTCATGAAGGACTCGAGAAAAAATGAATGTAAACTGAAATATACCATTCCCCGTTCAGAAGGATTGTTAAAAAATAACCGTGGTGAGTTGATCATGATCAAAAAGCTTTTTTCAAATATATATCTAACTATAGAGAGTTAGATTAGTAGCTATGGTAATACTTAGGTCTCACGATCCTGTGAATGCAAATGGAAAATTTGCATTTGTATATTCGTCGGTGAGTAAAGCTATACTCATCAGTGAAGAGAAGATCCACCCCTACATCCAGTGAACACAAACATGTGAATTCAGTTAACATACGTACCTAGTAATTTATTATCTTCGTGTTGTTGAAAACATTCGTCCTGTCCATTGTGCTTTCCATTATGTTGAGTGAAGTGAGAACAGTCAGGCATGTTTAATAATTCTGAAATGAAATGAACATGAATTAACATCTAATTAACTGATGCGATTGGGTTCTTATGATTTTCTTCAAAAAGAAAAATAAGTTCACAATGAAATTTAATGACTAGCATGAGCTGTTAATACGTTCGTATAGCTGTATATTTCATATTGCTGTCCGACATGATAATTAATATAGTAATAATAGATTTATTTAAGTTCAGAACAAAGTGCTACTTATTTGAAAGACAATAGAAACTAGTTTTGTATTGTAGAGCGAGAAATTTGGACTCACTCTCTTACAGACAGCTCTTTGCTTCTCCGATGTAGACACATCAAAATCGGTGTGTTTACATGCTCATTGCATGGTCGTATAGATACTGTCAAAACTCTGAAACCCATCCAGTTTATCGCTTCAGTTAGAAGTGACAAAAAGTTTCGAACCTCTCCTGATCTGGTTAAAATTACGTCTTTTCTATACGTCCGAATTCGTGTTACGTCCTTTTTAGTGGTGTCAAAACATGAAGTATGGCTACACTTGACTGTGTACTGAAAGGCGAGTATGAATTGCGACACAGATATAAAAAAAGGTTCGTTACACAAACAAAGGTTTTTAATTGCTTAAGCTATAAAATTCAAATTTCAACTTTGACATGTGTGACAGACTCGGACGCAAAAATTTGGAAGTACAGAAAAGGTCGTGTAGATTTAGATATATAGAAATGAAAATACAATAAGTAATGTATGATTTTATTTGAGATTTAGCCATATTTTGTATTTCTCTCTAAAAGAACTTGTTATTTGTTTATAAGCATTGCGAAGAGAAACGATAAAGCGACCTATATAGTTAATCTAGGGCTAGCGAAGGCATGTGCATTGATCATAGAGTTAAACGTAATACGAGACGACTTTTCTTGTAATTTGTACTGCAACAAATATGAAAGACAAAGACGTCCATCGTCTCAAGTCTCAGGCTAACAGTTAAAGTGTGTTTGAACTAGACCTTGCCGGATTCAATTCGTTATCTACTGCCAATCCAATCTTGACCGGAGCTATGGATAGCAATTTTGGAGTGAAGGACACTCTGTTTACACTATTTCTTGTCCTATCAACTATTATCATGTGTGTGAGCTATAAAAAAATATGTCTATTTCTAGCCTAATGGTACTTATAACAACAGACTATACGAAAAAGACGATAAAGCGAATACCTGTTTTAAAATTCACCATGATTCCTATTCACTCCTCTTTTTCTACTCAGAAAATCAAAAAAATAAAATTCATCTCATGACTTCGATCTTTTATCAAAGTTATGAAATTATTTTCTAGCTATCCTTCTGCATACATAATGTTATGGTGTCACGTGGATATCTTTTGCGAAATACTCTTTGATGTTGCACGAAATTGGAAAGCAATATAATTAAATAAAACTTTTTGCAGGCAAGCTTCTGTTGCTAACGCACTTTATGTAATGATCTACAATGAATTTTTTCAAGAACGAGACCGTAATTATAAAGGTTGCCTAGCTCCTAGCTTTTGTTTGAATCTATGAACCAAAGCAGTAAACGACTGCTTGAAAAACTTAACTAGATCAGATCGACGAAGTTGAGCACACCCAGGTAATGTCTGCGTATAAGAGCTATTTCAAGAAGAAATATCTTCGAATGCAAAAGAGGCACACGATTTTAATCTATCACCTACCTTGAGAATCTCGCCACATGACACTTGTTGAAATGACAAATCACATAGCTTATTAACGCTTTTTATAGCTCTTTCTTCGTAAATAAAACTGACGTTATTTTCATTTGTCGAAAGTGATTATTCCATTTTGAATCTGAAAGTTTTTCGAACAACGCATATATGCGTCACAAGTCTCATGATTGCTTGAGACTTACGCAGTCGCTTATCATGAATGGTTTTTTCATAGACATTCCCATAGAATCATGTGTCAGGCAACAGGGCCAAGGGGAAAAAAGCAGATTTCAAGATTCCCAAAGATTTCCAGAGATTTCTAAAGGTTTCCAAAGATTTCTAGAGATTTCCAAAGATTTTAGGTGCCAAAATCTGCTTTTCCCCCTTGTTATACCTCCTATATCTCCTATACCTCCTATACCTCTTATACTTCCTATACCTCTTATACCTCATATACCTCGTCTACCTCCTATATCTCCTATACCTCCTATACCTATATATCTATCTACCTCTTACCCATAGGACATAATCGAGTTTCTGGAGATACTCTCAGAAGACATCATATGCAAAGGTAGTGATACGGATTACAATATCATTTTCACATGAGATCCAGAGGCCAAGCTTTTAAATATTAAAGAAAAATATCTTTATTCAGACAGATAACTAAGAAAATCGTGCTGTTCTTGCCACATAGTTATGATAAACTTAGGTATCGATCAAAGTAACAAGTAGAACCTTGTCAATACTCATATATTAGTATTGAAAACACTCATAAATAGTTTTTGAAATGCTCAGCTTGAGAAAATTAAAACTTTTGAATGAAAAAGAAAAGAAGAAAACTAACAAGCACATGCTAGTATTTTGTGCTGGCATGAGTTATCCGAACGAGAAATAAAACATTATTACCCTTCATACTAAAAGTGTATGTAAATAATTTGATCTAGCTCAAAATTTACTTCTTTTATTTATTTTTTTTGAATCTTCTAAGAATGCTGGCAGCAACATTTCTATCGCAGGTTAACAGGTTATGATCTCAGTAACCTGTACCCTGCCCTATAAAAAAATCTTTTAACCTAGTCCTATCCTGTCAGGGCAGGGCAGGTTATCCATATATCCTGCAGAGCTCTACACACACGATGACTGCTTCTATACTTTATCAGACATAATGTGACTCATTTTCTTCAAAACTTATATAAATAGACATTATTCTCTAGGCAGTTTTTCGATTGTTGCTCGAAAATATTTCACATAGACATTCGGTTCTCAAATTCGATAGGAAATCCATTAACCAGATTTCAAGAAGTTCAGTGTAGAATATCTTCAAAATTTCATTAGAATCATTATTTCTTAATTGGTTAAGTCAAGCTTTATGAAAAATCAACTCAAAATTTTTCATCAATCGACACCATTCTTGATACAACTGTCATTGTGACTTATCATCGCGATATGATTCACTGCAAACATAATGTCCTTCTCAATAGTTTTTATAGATAGGTTTTGATGAGTCACAAAAAAAGATACGTCGATTATTATCTACCTATAAAGATAAGAGTGTTAGACTACAAATTACTTAATAAAGTTACTATTACTTCAATTCGCTTCGCATAGACGACGATAACAAGTATTTTTTAATAGATAGGCACCTTTGTAAGCATACAAATATTCATGGATTTCGAGTTCAATTCAAATAAGGAATTGATGTCACTATTCGATTGATTTATATTACACTTACAAAAATTCTTTTATTTGTCGCATATTTTCTTTATTATCTTAAAGTTTTATTTTAGATATTTGATGACTTTGTCCAATCTCCTAATCTAAATAGTTGAAAAAATTTCATGTCTGTGAAAATCCTCTCTTGTAAATCAAAAGAATGAGTGAATACCAAGATCTTTTGAAATTAAAAGAAATCGAATCATTATAACGAATAGTAACCGATAACTCAAATTAATCATAATTCTCTTCGTTTTCTACATTTTCTTATTGCAATTAAATATTTAGTTTCTTCTACGATAATGATTAGTAAATTTTCTAGTCAATCGGAATCAAGTCATACGATCAGAGAAATCAAGAAAACGGTAGAAGAGACAGTCGAAATATGTTAAATATATATAAAACAAAGAAAAGATAAAAACTTATAAGTCGATTAACAGTAATCAAAAGAAAAACATGATTGTTAAGAAATGCTTATTTGCTAGATGAAAAATTAATATGTAAATATACCATTGTATATTTTCATATATTTCAGAATGCAAACTGTAGCTATTGTTGGCGCTGGTGTGAGTGGTCTAATATCTATCAAATGTTGTTTAGATGGTGGTCTATCACCAACATGTTATGAAATGACTAATGATATTATGATGCAAAAGCAAGTGTTATGAAATCAACTGAAGTTAATACATTAAAAGAATTTATGGCTTTTAGTAATTTTCCACCACCAGCTGATTATCCAAATTATATGCATAATATCAAATTATTAGCATATTTTCGAATGTATGCATCAAAATTTAATTTTACAAAATATATTCGATTTCGACGACGTGTAATTCGTATTGAACAAGCTGATGATTATGAACATACAGGATGTTGGTTAATATATAGTATTCATGCAAATAAAGAACGTATACGAATGAATTATGTGAAAGATTTGATGCAGTAATGTTAGCTACTGGACATCATGCATATCCACGATTGCCAATATTTCCAGGTTTAGATAAGTTTAAAGGTAAATATTTGTTTTTTTGTTATACAGAATAAAAGATGATGACATGAGAAAAATTATCTAATTCATCATCATAGTTTTTTCAAAATGAAGCTTGAATAAATTGACCTTAGGTGAAAAATTACATAGTTGGCAATACAAGACATCTCATGGTTTAGAAGATAAAACAGTTCTTATCATTGGTATTGGAAGTTCAGCAGGTGAAATGGCTGTAGAATTAGGACATGTTGCTAAACAAGTATTAATAATAATGTTTTTCTTTATCATTGTATTCATTGTAATGAGTTATTAGGTTTATCTAAGTACTCGTCGTGGTACATGGGTTTATAATCGAGTTGGACCTACTGGATGGTCAGTAGATATGTATCGAACAAATTTAATTCTTGCAACAATTCAAAAATATTCTCCTTGGCTAATGAATCGATTAATTGAACGAGAATTAAACAAAAAATTTGATCATGAATTATATAGTCTTAAATCTAATCATTATCCTTTACGTAAATGATTTCTATTGTTTTTTTTTGTTTCATTATCATACATTCATTAATTTAAATGAAAATATTCTCTCTGTCAAAAATAATAAAGTAAATTTAACAAAAAAAGGAAAATAAAGAATTGAATTATGTTTATATCTTAGATTAAACTTTATAAATTTGTTTGACCATCACATTTAATTCATTCAACACTTGCTATTATTGCTTTAATTCAACCATGGGGTGCTCTATTAATCCAATGGCAGAATTACAAGCACATTGAGCTGTTCGTATATTTAAATGTGAATTAAAATTACCTTCACATTTACAAATGGATGAAGATATTCATAAACGTTTTGATCAAATGTTTTTAAACGATATGTTACATCATCAAGACATACGATACAAGTTGATTATGTAGAATATTGTAATGAACTCGCTAATGAAGTTGGTTGTCAACCAAATATATGTAAAATAAATCATATCTATTATAAAACTTCGTTTTTTTTTCTTTCTTTATATTTTCAGTATATTATCTGACTTTTACTTTTTGGTCCTTGTACTTCATATCGATATCGTTTACAAGGACCTAATAAATGGGAAGATGCTCGACAAGTAATTTTCACACAAAATGAAAGGTAACCGAGGAACAAAAAAAAAAGAATATATTATATAGTATTTTTATTCTATTATATCTATATAGAGTTGAATATCCATTACGTCACACATATAGAAATAAACAAAATCAATTAAAAAAAATATAGTAAAATTTCATCAATAATCATTTCATTTATTTTTATTGTATTAATTTTACTAATTTTAAATAGAATTTATAACTGATATTCAAAAAAAAAACAAAATGTATAATTAGTTATGCATGAAAATTGTATCATTCTAATAGAATCATATCAAAATGTTCGAAATACAATTTTTATAAAAAAAATGACGTATGTGTTTGTTATGGTTATATTACGTGACTATGAGTATAACACATATTAGAATTCTGATAGATTGTAGACAAATTTTTTTATGACATGTAAAAGATGATTTATATAAACAATGAATAAAATAAAAGAAAGAAAAAAAAAAAAATCGTTGATATGTTTTTTTGATCAGAAAATGTTTCATAATATATAGATATGTATTTCTCTAGTTGATTATCATCTTTCGAAAATTATTAGTTACATATTCTGATTACAATTAAGATTATGAATATATTTTCTTGAAGATTGTATGCGTAATTTTCAAGGATACATCAAGTATTCAGTAAGATAAGAAGAATAAAATGAACAAGAACAAGTAACCAACATAGCATTATTATTTGAGTTTTGAATAATAATAAGATGATTTCATTGTTACATTGTTCTAGTCATTCTGCCAATTGAGTTCCTTCGGGCTCTTCATCTTACACTTCTCGTGACAAGACATACAAGTCGAAAAGAGAGTGAATAATGAATGAATTGCTTTGAAGGCTATATGAGCATCACTTTTCTATTCGATCATCATGTACAAACAAGCGTAATGAATGTAGATTGCACGCATCAAGGCACTTTATTTCTTCCTTCTAGTATCGTTCTTCATCTTTCTTTTTTTTTTCATGATAAGATGAATATTCACAAACTTTTTTTTTTCTTCTCTTTATCATGTTCCATATCCTCTTTAAACATCTATTGAATATATAGAGTATATGAATATATATTTGTTAGTTCAATTGTGATGTAGATCACTTTGATTCTCGTGTTTTTTTTTTTGACTATGATTGAGTCTTTTTGTTGAATGTCATGCTCAATATAATGAAAGAAAAAGTAAAAATAAAAATTGATCTAAAACTACTACTACTACTACTACAATTTAATGATGTGCATTTATGCTTTCTTTCTTTTTTTTTTTTATCGTGCCCCTTCTTTTTCTTGTCTAACATCCATCAAGCCTTTCGGAAGTTGAGTAAGTTAGTTATTGCTAGCGTAGACAGTGACCATAACTAATAAGCATTTATTGACTAATGTAAAAAAAAAACACGATGTCAATAAGATATGTATGTTCATTGCATGAGACAACAAAAATGACTGACACATGGTATTAATGATATGAGTAAAAGGAGAATATTAACTTGTCACTTTGTTTATGTAAGATTCTTTTTTTCATTATCATCGAGTAAAGAAAAAGAACACGAACAATAACGAGACACACACAAAAATAGAAAGCTTGTTCTCCATTTTTCATTATACGTGTTACTATCAATCAAATTTATCAATATCTATATGTATGAGAATATATAATGAATATATACAATGTATCCTTCTTCCTCTTTTTTTTTATCTTGACTATTATTTGTATTGATTTTCAAGTATTTTCAATCGATCAGTTAATATAAAAAATTTTGTAAATAGATAGATAGATAGTAAATGATTCTTTTCTTAAATCAAGTTCTTCTTCTTGTTATATAACATTCAATATAATTTGTATGTGAACGGAAGGAAAGCAACCATCATTGATGCATAGCAAACAAAACTATTTCTTCTTATTTCATCATAAGTTGATCCTTAATTCTAATGTCTATTACAAAGAACTGCATCGGTCAGTCATTCATTCTCTTAAGAACTTTTCTTTTTTTTTACATTTCCGATATCTTGCATACATAGTTCGCTATATACTGAACAATATGATGATTTTTTTCTTGGAATTACTTATAGATAAATGATTGCTAATATATATTAAGAAGTTTATTATGTTCATTCATTTTAAATGAAAAATCGAAGAAAGTTTTGATGAAACTAACAATATGAGATATATTGACACATTAATCGAATTGATCACTACAAGCATTATTCTCTTTACAACATGCAATTAATAATTAGCATCGAAATAGGATGTAGTTTCCCGCAGGGTTCGTTTAATATTCGAATAATATCAAACACATTAAAAAAGAAAAAAGAAAGTGTATGTGTATATTTAATAACATTGTTTCTTTTTCACATTTATCATATTAGAACAATGTATTACCACCTGTTATTATTAATCGTTTTCATTTATTTATGATCTTTTGACTTAAAAGTACGGATTGATCATTATAAATATCAGATCGAACAATCGAAATTTTCATATAGAGAAAGATAAACGAAATCTATTTTATACACATCAAATAGATTTAGATATGTAGGTTGGTCATTCATTTGACCTGTATCAATATTACTATTGTTCTTCTTACGAAAGAACGAAAGACTCTATTTATCATTTAATCTGGCTCTACCTTTAAAACAATGTTGAGCCTTTGTCTTTACGTTTTTTTTTTTGTTGCACATACACACACATATACATTTACTATTAGCAAGACAGAAAGAGAGAGAGAGATGAGAAAAATAATGACAGATAGACGCGCAATATGTAGATGATTTTGTCTCTCATTTTTTATATCTTGATTGAACACACACATTTATATAAACTTGAAAGATAATAAACATTGTCTTAATCGATCGAATTGTTTTTTTTTATAGAACATAAGTATATCTTCATTCGATTAAATAGTCACGATTATCATTATCATTCATTTTTTGATAGTTAACCATTGTTTATAACTTGTTTTACATACAGTAGAAACAACTACAGAAGAAAATAAGTGAGAGAGAAGAAAAAAAAAACGATAAAGAAAGAGAAGAAAAAATGTTCAGAAAGTTTACTCGCTTGCTATTTCTTTTTTTTTCTTCTTCTTCTTCTATATATGTGTGTCTACGTTGATGACAAAAAGATGAAGAAGCTCTTTTCATCAGTTCCACCCGATAACATATAGATACAACCATTAGCAAGATATAGTTAAGATTGAGAGAGAGAGAGCGGGAGAGAAAAGCGAAAGGAAGAAAGAAACATTCTTAGTGTAGATCTGTCAAATATGCTATTGTCAGTTTTCTTTTCGATGATCGATCTCCTACTACTATTATTATTGTAATATTAAGCACAACTTTGAGTAAATACACTTGAATCTATCTATTTATATATCAATGAATCTTTAGATATATTCTATTTTTTTATTTTATTAGATATTTAAAAAAACAAGACATGTAAAACTCTATGGGAAATCATATTTAAACAATAAAGAAAAAGAATTTTAACAATGCAAAACAATCATATTATGTTTATATTGGTGCTTATTTTTATCTTCTATGGTCAAAGTATACAAGTAAATATAAATGAATAACTCTATTGTCAAATATAATAAATAGGTTTTATATATGTGTGAAAATAGTAAAAGATTTGTTATCAGTTGTCCTTCTCTCTCTCTCTCTTTCAATAGTCTACACCGTTTTGACCATTTTTCTTTTCTTTGTTGTTTGAGGGTATAGACACATGTCGAAAAGATATATCCGCTAGCATTTGTCATTGTGTGAATAGACAACACATTACTCATTAGTGATCAATAGATGATACTTAAAAGTAATCTTAGTCAGTATATGTCCATTAAATATTAAAATGTACAATTTAACATAATTATGTTTTCATCTTTTTCTTGTCAAAAGAATCGAATTCATTTTCATAATTGTTTATTTCAATGTATGCTTAAGGCAAAATATTAATTCTGTTTAATTAATGTGAAATATGTTGTCAAAATGCAAAATATTCGTTTAATGTTTTCTAATGATGAATTGATTGTTTTTTTGTGATCATTATTCTTTTTGAAAAAAAAATAATCGATACATTCTCAGACGAATGTCAAGTATGCTTTAGTCATCAGTTTATGCAATCATATGTCAAGAAAAAAAAAAAAAAAAAAAACGTTAATCATCTCACCGGTAGTATGCATTGATACTTGCACTTTATTCTATTGATAATTATCATGAACAGAATAAAAAAAAAAAAACGAAGCGACACATCCTAAATTAACTACTCAGCAATGTTAGATAGTAATACGAAAACTTTTTTTGTTACATTATTATAATAAATAATATTTTTTTTTTTTAGTTATGTCAAAAACTTTCAAAATCTCTTATTATTTCTACTTTAAATAAAACAAAATCGATTTCAAATCAATGTTATAAAATTGGATTATGTAATTTAATACTTATGACAAATGATTATCATTATATTAAATTAAAACAAAATAAAAATATTTCACAATTATTATTCTCATCAAAATTTAAACTTTTAATTGATCATGATGATTATAATAAACAAATTTTATTTTCATCAATATCAAACTATGGAACAATAATAAATACAACAAATGTATCAATAAAAAATTGTTATTCAGAAAAAGAATTTATTAAACGTAATATACGACAATATGATCGATTAGGTAAAGATATGGTTTTTTTTTTGCTTTGCATAAATTCTTTATAATAGAATATTTTTATTTCTATTGAACAAACACATATGTATTTGATGAAAATAATCATTCATGCATAATATAGATGTTGTTAATCCCTCTAGAAATATTTAACTAATCTTGATTGATGAACTGGAAAGAAAGAAGAAAAGTTTATTTATAAGAACTTTAAAAAAAAAATAATTGTTTTTCTTTGATTAGAATCAACATCATCAATAATAATTACATTTAATTCATCATCATTTATTGATTATCATCATAAAGATAAACTTAATTATCCATTACGTTTATCAGTACGTTTTCGTACATTAGGTAGAATATCAAATGGTGTTTTACTTTCTTTAACATATAAAACTATAACATCAATAATACCATTTATTATAATTGAACATACAAATGGAAAAATAGAAATCACTATACTTGAATTAGATCAAAGAAATGCATTATCAAATGTTACTGTAAGTAGAAATCTTAGGTTCTTCTTTTTTTTTTTGATTATACTTTATCAACCACCTTTTGGAAGTTGTGTTATGGGTTGTTTTTTTCTTCTTCTATTTCATAGAAGCAGATCTAAGCAATCTGTTCATCTGTCTTTCAATTTTCTACCATTTCCGACAGAAAACATTAATCTTTTTTCTCATTAATTTTTCGATGTTCTTTACGTTTACGCATCAACTAACAAAACAACAAAAGCCATGCTATAGAGCAATTTACATTTTTTTTTTTTCGCTAAACTTGATTTTCTTGGTCTTCTTTTTCTTTTAAACATCGTCTTATTACTATCCTGATTAGCAATCCATCTCATACTAAATACGGAACGAGAAAAGAATCCTAGAAACTAAATAAAATAATGATATTTCTTTCTTCGATTTTTTTTTTCTTCTTATGTATATAGTTATATGGAACTAGTGAAGATGCGCGCGCTCTCTGCACGGACAAATAAAATGAAGTGTTTTATTTTTTCCTGTCTCCAAGGTCATCATCATCATCATTTTTTTTTTTCGTATCGATCGATGTGCACTAGTCTAAATGTATCTTAAATCAAACTTAGTACATTGCTGTTTAAACGAGCGTATATAAAGAAGAAAAAAAAAAAACAAAAATTAAATTACTCGGAATATATATCGATAGCCGAAAACTAAAGCAAACTAAAATTACTTTTATATCCGGATGCAATTGGCAGACAACTATCGGATGAATTTCTGTTTACATTCTATTAAATATTTGCATGTTCCGTTAAATATATAATTGTGTTCTATGAGAAAATAGAAAGAAAAATCAAAATTAAGTTTGTTTATTTGTTGTCTTTTTCTTTTTTTGTTAAGAATAAATAGAATGAAGAAAGAAAATATAATGATTAAAAAAAAAACCAATTTTGTTATATATTCTATCAATTAATAAGAATAATAAAGAATTGTATGAATATTGAAATAAACAATCTAATTAATCTATAATTCATATTGAAATTTAATAAATAAATATAGTTAAGGTTTAATGTCTGATTTAATAATTTTTCAGTTCAATTCTAGTATTATCAAGTACAACGATTTATAATTATATTTAATATAGAAGAAAATACTATGCATAATAAAAAAAAAAAAACAACAAAATTTATAGTTTTACTACGATATCGAATAAGAAATTAAGAGTAATCGTTCTATTTTGAATCATTTCTAGTTTTCTACGAGAGTATGACCAGTTGTACTCTTAAATACAAGTATTTAGATAATGATTATTGACATGTCATTAGGTTTTAATTGAAATATTACAGAATTGGACAAAAATCTCAGCTAATATAGATACTAGTGGTCTGAAAATTTCTATACGCGATGGATCTCACCGAAGTCCAAAAAATTTTTACTAGAATGATAACCATTTAACTATGACTATTCGAATAGGTTTTGCCTGTATTTGAATATTATTGCGTACTAGTCTCAAAAAAAAAATCTTCTTGTAAAAGGAAACGACGTACCAATCATCATTGTGTTGGTGTTGAGAATTCAAAAATCTCTAGAGACATCAAAGTACATGATATTTTGACTGACGAAAGATTATATATTGGGCTTCAGATACAAATGAAAATTTTAAGAATTAGTCATGTATTTGATGAAATGTAACAAGAAATTCAGTAGATAGTTTTTTTTCAAATTAAAAATTTTGAAGTTAAAATAGACGCCGTGCCTCATAATTCTAATTGTATTTAAACAATTAGAGTAATCTTATGTATCTAGCCTACATTCAATCAATGACGAGTTTCAACATGAATTCTTTATATGATTAATCATAAAGATATGAGAAGACTTGTCATTTTCTTTTAACTTGATGAATTATGATCGAATTGTGAGTTGCTCGCAGTTGATATATATTTTTTTTTCTTGTGGGAAAAATTTATACTTGATTAGTATCACATCTATCTAAAATAAAAATATAACACTTTATTCAAAGAATCAAAATTGAATATGTGTATTGCAAAAGAAAAAAAAGTAATAAAACGTATTTTGAATTATTTTAACGGGGATGATACGAAAGTTTCTGACTACGATGTTTTTCATTCGTCAACTCATTGTAGAAAATTAACAACATTATATTAGAATTAGAATTGTTTTTTTTCGAATATGAATTGAATTTTCGAAATTTCAATGGTTATATTCTTATCATTAGTTTTCTGTGATATTTCTATTAATAATAAAACTTTTAGTAGAAGATATATTGACGTCGTTTGACACTTCTTGATTTTCAGACTTACAAATTGTGTTACTTTATAATTATTTTAGAAAACTATAGAAAAATAAATCATTCGAGAAATAAGTTAATCAAAAGTTCAATGTTTTTTTTTTTTGATTATTTAAAGTGAGTTACTCTGATTAGTTACATAGATAATTTTATTTCTCTACGTCAATGATTATGAAAGGCTCGTGTTTTTTTTTCCAACCCATCTCTAACTCAATAAATTATATATTTAGATTACAGTACAATGCAAAGATTGTGCTGAGGCAATAGAGAATTTAGAGGCGGCATTTATGTGAATCGTCCCTTTCTTAACAACTAACATTATTCGACAAGTTGTATACTCAATGAAGAAGAATTTTTTTTTCTTTAAATTTTAAATAATTCATTGTGATAATGTTTCTATTTCTGTCAGTTTTCGTCTCCATCTCATTAATCTTGGGATATAGATTATCAGATTATACAAAGTGTAACACATGTTCAATTTTTTCACATAGGAATACAACGAGTCTAAAATTGATTTAGAACCAAAAGTCTTAGGATTTTCTTACAGATCAAATTCATATAAATAATTGACCATTTTAGTGACTGTTATCAAAATGCATATTATTTTTGTTCAAGTCAAAATTATACTAAGGATTTGAAATCGAAATCTTTCTCTGATAGTGCCACACTTTCAATGAATTAGATCATTGTTAATGTCATCTTATTTTACAAAAAACTTTTGGGATTTTTGAATTATTTAAGATGAAATCATTTTTACAACTTTATTATAAATTTCATTTTATCTTGATTTTTCTCTTCCCAAGGGGCATTTTAAAATTTCGGAGAGGATCAATCTGTTCTTCGGAGAGACATCATTTCCATGTTGAATAAAACACTATATCAATATTATGGAAGATATCTTTCATTATTAAAATTAAGTTCAACTTTAGATTTCGAAAAAAAAAAACAACTTAGAGAATTTTTTTTGTAAAAATATAATTGATAATCACCTCCTAGACTGTTCAATGTGGTAAAAATATCAACAATGATAATTGGCATAAATTACAATTTGAAATTGATCTAAATGGAATATTTAAAATTATTATTGATGATGATATACGAACATGTAAATTTTAAAAAAAAATATAAAACAATAATTAATTTTAGTTTTTTCATAATTATTTTATTTTTTTAGCACAAATTCCTACTTATGTTATAACAAATTGGAATTTAAATGCATTATTAGTTGGTGATACACGTCGTTTAACAACAGATATATTTCAACCATTTATTGGTTATATGAGTGATCTTATATTTAATAATGAATATTTATTTACAAGTTTAACAACACGAAAACAACGAATTCAATCATCATTTCATTATTCTAGTCAACATATTATTGTTGGTTATCGTATAGCATTTTTTAATTTAATTACTATTGAAACACAAACATCACTTATAGTTTTTTCTGAACGTGAAAATCAAAATAAAAATCATGGAAAACTTGATATTTATTTTTTATTTCGTTCATATGTACCTGATGGTATTATTTTATATCGTTATGCACAAGGTTTAAATGAATATTTTGCTATTGGTTTACGAGCTGGAATTTTAACATTATTTATGGATTTTGGTTTTGGTAAACGACAAATTGTTAGTGATGAATCAAAAAAATTAACTGATGGAAAATGGCATGAAGTACGAATAACAAAAATTGGTACTGATAAGTAAGAAAAATTTTTTTATTTCATATCAAAAAAAAGAGAAGTTATATATAGAAAATTCAGTAGTTTCACATTTCTTAAGATATTATATCAAGCGATGCTTAGAGTACAGGATTACATGAAGCCTAAGCTAATTGGAAAACACGACATTCTTCTATGCTTCCTGAAGTACAAGACTACAATAGGAGTACAGTTTTATAACGAAGAAAACGACTTACGAGGGAACATTCCCAAGTGTACCATCGTTTTTGAGTTCGGACTCTATGCATAAGGTAGATCCCAGTGATGTATGAAAAACCCCAGAAGAATAAGTGTCCTTAGACCTTATGTCTAGAGTTATAGGCATTTTACCGAAATTTTAGCCTTTGGCATGGTATATACCGATAAATCGAATGATTGTATTTCGACCTGAGATTTTGTCCACAGATAGATCTATTTGTGAGTAGAATATCCTGAAAATTTCAGCTCAAAAGAATGTTTTATTCCTGAGATATTAAAGTCCCAAAAAACAGTAAATTCTAGCATCTTTTGTGGGATATTATTGATTTTTGGGACTTTAATATCTCAGGAATAAAACATTCTTTTGAGCTGAAATTTTCAGGATATTCTACTCACAAATAGATCTATTTGTGGGCAAAATCTTAGGTCGAAATACCATCATTTGATTTGTCGGTATTTACCATGCCAAAGGCTAAAATTTCGGTAAAATGCCTATAACTCTAGACAGAGGGCCTAAGGGCACTTATTCTTCTGGGTTTTTTCATACATCACTGGAATCTACCTTATGCATAGAGTCCGAACTCAAAAACGATGGGACACTTGGGAATGTTCCCTCGTTAGCCTCATACTCGCACAGGCACGTACACAGAAATTTTCTGAGAGAAGGACCCACCATGGGAAAATTACAAAAATTTGCTAGGAAAAAAACGTATACCTGTACCTCCATACAGGCGTCTTCAGTCCTGCGGGGGGCCCGAACTAGTGGCGTAACCAGGTGGTGCTAAGCCCCACCACCGAGCGAAGCCGCATCAGCTAAACACTTTTACGAGCCTCATCATCGACTTAGAGCTCGACCAGCTGAACCCCTTCACCTTTAAAATCCTGGTTTCGCCACTAGCCCGAACCCCATGGGCTCCTCGTTCGGTACGTGCCTGTACTCGCATGGTTCTTTTACAATGCTCCACGGGTTTCTAAGCCACTTTCATTGTATGTCATTTTTCTCTTAGAGAAGATTATCAACTTGATTTACAATAAAAGTATACATCGCTCATAAATACGATTTAAAACTAGAGAATGAATAAAGATTGAATATATTAGTGTTGGTGGTTTTGTTTTATTTATACTATCGATTTAGATACTTTTAATAGGAATTGATATCTTTATCTCTATTAGAAGACATATGATTTTTGTGTGAATTTCTATGGAATTTTTCTTTTTTAATCAAGTTTGATCTATTTTTCCACGAGGAGCATATACAATGTGGATGTAGGTGTTGCTATTCTCTCGAGACATAACCAAACTTTCAATTAGTAATTATTTTGTATATTACTTTTTATTGAGATTCACGTTCATGAAGAGCAAGAAACATAGTTAAGATGTGTTTTCTTCTATCTTTTTTATTCTTTGAGAAAACAAGAACAAAATAGAAAAGAATACAAAGATTAATCAATGACAAAGAAAAGCAATATAAACGAAAATATCAAAGAATAGATAGAATCCAGAAGTATACAGTTTGAATACATCGTAACATTTGTGTTTTTTTTTTGTCGATTATTTAGGTTTTTATTTCAAAATAATTATTGATATAATATTTATTTTCTAGAATTGAATTAGCTGTTGATAATCGTGTAAATCGTTCAACATTATCAGCAAATGGTATTCGAAATGCTGTTTCACTTCAACCTGTACTTTATATTGGTGGAATACCAAATAATATTCAAATTAATTTAACAGATTCTGGTCTTAATTCTTATGGATTTCAAGGTTGTTTATCAAGTTTTATAGTTGATGGTCGTTTACTTGATTATCAAACAGCATTAGCATTACATGGAAAAATTACAATGAATGTTTGTTCAGGTAAATAATATTTTTAAATATTCTTTTCTTTTTTTTTTTTTTGTTATTATTATTAATTTTGATAAAAGAGATGAAAAAAACTTTAGTAGATTCTTCAGATATAACATCAAATGAAAATAATGGTAAGCAATTGTTTGTAGTCCATTGTATTCTTGTTCTGTTCGTGATTAATTAGACACATACAAAAAAAAACGAAAACAAATATATTTATTAATTTTTTATTTGTTTCATATAGATTTAAATAAACTTTGTTATGATTTTACATGTATTCATTCCGGTATATGTATAACAAATAATGATGATGATGATGATGGACCAAAATGTAATTGTATTGAAACAGCTTATATAGGTGAACGTTGTGATAAATGTAAGTTTAGTATAGTTTTATTTTTGAATCATTCTCAGTTACAGTATGTCTAACTGAAAGCTTTCTCAATGAACGATCTATTCTATAAGTTTTCTCTGCGAAAAGTTTTAGTTCGAACAATTGTAGTATTGTTTTATGAACTTTTTTTACTATTTGTTAGGATATTTCGATAGAAATAATTAAGTTTTATGTCTAAATCAATTAATATAAAAAAAAACTAAATCAAGTTATATGGTTTTGAAAATTTTTTGACAAACATTTTTTTTTCCTTGTAAAAATTCAACCAGACATCCCCCTCTGTGCACAATCAAAAAAATGAATTTAATTAAAATATCATTCGTATTATTTGTTGTTTTTATGTCATAGTGACGTTTTTGCAAGTTTTGACCTTGTTTTTCACTAATCAAAAGATTTTCTAATTTAAATTCCTTTTTTTTTAAGATACATTTCAACTATACTATTCGTTCTGACGAAGGACGTAATTATTTCTATCGAAAGGAAAACATCCGTTCATGTATGAATCATATGTTTATACTATCAATAGTGGAAATAAAAATGAATTGAACTCCTTTCAGAAATCGCTTTATTCAAATGGATTTCTTTTTGTTTTTTTTTTCAATAGTACCTAATGGTTTTTATTTTGGTAAACATAATTTAATTGGTTCACTTGAATATACTATGACACAAGCACGTCAAACTGAACATGATACAATTACATTGGGTCTTCAAACAACTTCTATATCAGCTCAAATATTTCGTATTGAATCTGATTTAAATTTATATAGTCTTGAATATGAAATAGTATGTTTATTTAGACTTTTTTTTTTTCTACGAGAAAAATTTTATTATTCATATGAATATATATTTAAGGTACGAGGACGATCATATATAAAATTAAATTTAGGTGAAAAACAATCAGATATTTATTCAGCTATAACTCATATAACAGATGGAATTTATCATGCTATTAAAATAGTGAGAAAATTTTCATTTATTGAATTATATGTTGATGGTATTAGAATTAAATTAGAAGGTGGAAATAGTAAGTTTAAATGAATAAAATAGATAAAAGAAATTATTATTAAATATATTATATTTTAGAATATGCACATAATTTAGAATCAAAACCATTTCTTGCACAACGACGTTTAAGAATAGGAAATTTTAAAAATGTTTCACAATGGAATGGAATTCTTGCTGGTAAGTTAAATTATTTCATCTTCGATTAGATTTTATTCATTCAAAAAAATACTTATAATGATAATTATAAGATATTATATATATATTGAAGTAAACAATTTAACATTGAATGTCTTTGTAAGTCAATATGAAAAAGCTTTTTTTTTAAGAATTTGAAATCTTACATTTGTTGAAATGCTCTTTGTACTCTTAGTGATTTTTGAAAAATAAACATAAGAGCATGTAACCTTAGCAGTGTTTCATCTAGGTTTCGTTTCCCGGGCGGGCAAGTCGAAATTTCGGGTGGGCGGCGCCTACTCGGCCCACCCAGTAGACGAATGGCTGCTGTATATTTTCGAGTGAACGAATCAAAATTTCGGGTGGGCGGCGCCCACCCAGCAGATAAATCACTGGAACTCTTGTGCATCCTGAGAACTTACTTTTAAGGTGTACAATAACATGACGATGTAGATGTGAACCCAATAGTCAAAAGTCCAGTGCAAAAAACTAGATGTTAATTTTTCAAAAAGTGTTATTTTTTTTTTTTTGTTCAAAAATTGATACTGAGAAAAATACAAAATAATCTTTCGAGAGTTTTTTCTTTAACTAAACGAATCGAAAATTGTTTGTATTAGATGTTTTATAACCCATGCTCTCAATACTTTTCATTAGAAGAATTTTACATACAAAAAGATACAAGGATTTCTTTTACAAATTTATTACGAATTTTCTATTTAAATTAGAATTCTATTCTATTTTAGGTTTAACATTTAATCGTCAATCAATATTTGATAGTCTTAGTTCTACACTTATTCGATTAGGTGATGTTGAAGAAGTCTATCCTGATCAATATACTGGTCAATTTAATTTAACTTCAATATATTTTATATCTTCAACAGATACATCAATTCTTTCAACAAATATATTCACTACTTCTATAATAAATATAAATATTGAAAGTTCAAGTATACCAATACTTGGTCATTTATATCATAATGAACCAATAACAAAAATAAATATTATTTCATCTAAACCAATTCAACATCGTGGTTTAGTTTTTTCATGGTTATCTAAACAAATAAAATATAATCCTATACGTAGTCTTATTATTGGTTTAATAAGTGCTAGTTGTTTTATATTATTTTTATTATTTATTATAATACGTTTACATTGTACAAATCATTCAATAAAAAGAAATAAACATTCATATAAACATACACAAACAAATGGTAAAATATATTCACAATTACAACAACAACAAACAAAACGTTATTCACTTGTACCAAGTGATAATCATGAATCAAAAAAACGTGTACCTAAATTTCTTCGACATTTACATACAAATGAAAATAAACCATCAACATCATTTCGTTTATCAGCAAATGGTGGTGATAGTTATCATCTTATATCATCTATACAAGATAATAAAATATTACCATATCGTAATTCAGATTGTGTTTTAAGTGAACATTGTTGTATACATTCAAGTTTATCACAACCAATGTCACCATCATCATCATCATCTTTATATCATCAAATAAATCGTTTAATGTTATCTGGTAGTGAACCACCATTACCATTAGCAAATATTGCACAATCACATTCTCATCAAATTTCAACAGCAACATTACGTTCATTAAAAAAAGAAATTGATAATTCAAGTACACAAACATATTCAGCTGTTTATTCATGTGATATTGTAGCAAATTTAGATATTGATCAAGATATTGTACAAAAACGTTCATCAATAAAAAGAAGATCAATTTTAAAAAATACTCATGCATCAATAATTCAAACTAAAATTTTATTTCTTTATGTTAAAAATCTTGTTGATTGTTATGCATTACAACCGAATAATAAAACAAATAAAGAACCGATTGTTTTAGCTACAGCTGATGAGAATCGAATTCAATTATTTCATGCTCTTGTAAGTAAATCTAATCATTATTTTTATATACTCCTTGAAATACTTCTAATATTATCTATTAAACTACTTTAAGATTATCAATTTCCTATATTTATTATCAATACTGACAACATTCTCATATGTAGTAGTGGGCAAAAGCCTCCCACTCCTCTTTATCTCAATGTTAGCACGGATTATCAAGTTTATTTAAGAAGAAAAAAAAAAGAACTAGGACGTTTAGGTTCATCAACAATAATAATAATAAAAAGGAAGCACAAAAGAAAGACCAGAGGAAAAAAAAATGATAAGAAAAATGCGTATATTTTTACATGCTGGTAAAATCACGCTATACATAGAATAAAAGATTATCGGAAGATGATTACACCATATAAAAGACAAAGTATAATGTAATTAAGATAATGAAATGATAATAGGGTCATCTTGACAACATTCAACTAGTATACATACCATAGATTTGGACAATTTGTGTGGAGAATCTTTATCTACTCTTTCTCTCTCTTTACTAAACATTTTCTTTTTTGTTTTTTAGACAGGAAGTTTTCATTCTCGATTACCTGTATCATCAGTTGGTTCTTGTCATAATTTATTATTTTCTTATAATGGTCAATATCTTATAGGATTATTCTATGAAATAACACCAAATTTAAATCCTTATGCTGTTAAAATTTGGTCAACAAATGATAATACATTACGTTCAAATTTACATCCAATTAAATGTTCAATAGCATCAACATCTCAACATTCATCTATACTTTATATGGCTGGTAAACAAAAATATGGTCGAGGTATATCACTTGGTTTACTTGATCTAGATACATGTAGTCTTATACGTGAACTTAAATCAGATCCTGATACATCGATTGGTGATGAAATTCGACGAATTATTTTAACAAAAAATGAAACATATGCAATTATTGCATGTATAGAATATTCAAGTACATATACATGTTTTGTAATTTTTAAATTAGAAATAATAACAAATCAAAATAATGAACAATCATCATTAAAAATAAATTCATTAAGTAATTGTACAATGATTTTAACAAGATTTGATTCCGATCCAAATAATACATTTTCAATAAATGATATAACTAATACTAATAATATTGATCAATATATGTTAACTGTATTACGTAAAAATGAAATTCTTGTTTGGAAATTAAATGATGGAGAAATTGTATTTAATTATGATTTTCATCATTTAAATTCTAATAATAATATACAACAAATACTTAATTGTCAAATAAATGATAATCGTTTAATGATACTTGTTGAACAAGGTTCAATACATATATGGGATATAATATTAATGACAGGTCAATTTTCATTAATTACAACTATATCCGATCCATTAGTAAGTTATTATTTTTTAACACGATCTAAAAGAAGTATTGAAATATAAATGGTAAAAGTTTGCTTTCTAATCCGCTCAACTCCCATAGACAATGACAGACGGGAGTCGAATAGTTACTTGTTAGGAAACTTGCTGGTGAACATAAATCTTCTCTTCATTCAAACTGACGTATCACATCTATTAGTAACTACTCACGATCAGAAATGTCCCGAGGTCGATAAACCAAAAATGATAACTTTTCAAAGATTGGGAAGCGGTCATTTCCTTTTGCTCATAATGAACATTGTGGCAATACTCTTCCTTCTCCTCGCGATAGACTTTATTAGTATATGACTAAAGATCGTAGATCTTTAATGTCTCAGTATAATATACGAATAACTTCCTTAAATGGTCTTTTTTTGTAATAGTATATTTTGTTTTCTGATATTCGCTGTACAAATCAATGCATTTTTGACATTCCTACAATATCTTACAAGGGCATCCGAATACGAAACAAAACTGAAGTTGAATTTTTTTTCAATTTCGACTTTCTGTCACGTCTATAGCTCTTGATTCAATATAGTTCGGATCTATAACTAGGGATGTACCGAGAACTCGGTCTCGGTGCGTCTCGGTCTCGGCTCAGTCTCGGCCTCGGTCTTAGTCCGTCTCAGTTTGTCTCGGTCTCGGTCAGTTTCGGCCGAGAATGAACGAGACCGAGAGTCTCGGTCTTGGCTAGCCTCAACCTTAGCATTGAGTAGTGCCGATCTCGATTATGCTTAATCTCGATCATTTCTTTATCATAGATAAGTGTGCTACTCTGTCTCGGGCGAAATTATATTTCTTTAAGCTTTTCGGCTGAGATTGACCGAGATCGACCGAGGCCGAGCCGACTCGGACCGAGAGTCTCGGTTCAGTCTCGGTCTCGGTACATCCCTATCTATAACATACGTTGATTTGTACAGTAAATATCAAAAAACAAAAGTTATCTTTAAAAAAAAGTTCATACGTTAAAACTGAATTTATTAACCATTTGAGTATCATGTCTACATGAATATATATATACATCAAAATATAATCTATGTAATAGTGAAAATTGCACTTTAATATCATTTCGCGTCGTTTTTTTTTTGAGTTATTCGAAAATCAATAAACTTGAAAAAGAAAACTGTACTTTATTCAGGACATTGATGGTTAATGAGTTAAGAAAAATAATGAATGAATAAATATATTGTCGAATATATATAATAAAACAATCTCTCGACGATTAGAAATAATAACTAAATCATATTTTATATTTTAATTATACATGGATTGTTTTAAGATTTTTTTTTTTTTAATTAGAAAAAAATAGATATGTCTGTTTTTTTGACATCTTGATTAAGTTCATAATATTCAAAAGATATAATTATCCTCTAAACATTGAAATAAAAATACTTGACACCAACTTATAGAATAGATTAATATTTCAAAACTTATCAAATATCATCTATAGTTTTAAGTTTTCTTGAACTTTAAAATTAGTTTTATCTCATTAGATATACAAAAAACAAAACATATTAAATAAAAGATCTATAAGTTCATTCAATCATATATGAAATGATAACTAATAAATGAACTAATCTTACAAATTTCATTATCATTGAAATTCATATCATTTTTCATAGGAAAAGAGAATATGATGAAATAAATGAAAATAATCAAAAGAAACAAAAAAAATGTACAAACACTTGAAACCATTTAATGACTAATGATGTGAAACAAACAGAAGAAAAAAAAAGATTTTACTGTAGAGTCAAATTCGAAAATAAGTTTTCTTGAAGATAGCTATGACATTTATTTAAAAACTATCGTAAAAATGTAGTAAATTCCATAGTAATTAGCTAGCAATTCAGAATATTTACAATTCATTTTTTTTTTACATAGTCTCAATTCAAAACCGATCTTTTAAATTTCATGCGTGAGCAAAACTTTATCATAAAAGATTGTTGTTAATGAACGTTTACTATTATCCATATATTGTTTTATTTGCAGAAAGTTCATTGTTTATATAATGAATTTAAACAGATATTCTACACTCTTTATCCTTTACAAAAAAAAAAATAATTTTTCAACAATCCTTCATAATAATTATTTTAATACCTAACAGTCATCAATATTTATTTTATTCCTATTTATGTAGCTTATAAATCTCTAATGAGAATAATCTTGTTTATAGATTAATTAAAAACATTGTTTTTTAACTTGAAGACAGATATGATTAAGAAGATATGACAGACATTTATAGTATAAAAAGCTTAATTGAATATGCGCTTACTAAATAAAGCTTTACTTAATGGATTATTAAAATGTCAAGTCAACTTTTTAAAAATATGTTTTCGGAACAAATATAAACATAATCTATCAAATGATCCTAATCATGAATGACTATTACAGTGCATTTCTTTATATTGCTTCAACCCTTTTTTTTTCTTTTGTCATAGAAAACAAAAAGATTAATATATCAGATTCTGTTCTATTTCATTTATTATTTAACAAATTTACATAAAAAAAAAAATCATAGTAAAATACTTTAGCTGAACACAAGATATACATATTCAATATTCTATCAATTAGATCTTTTTTGATTAAAATTTTTCTAGGTCTCTGTATGTTTGCATGTGAATATAGTTTTGTTTTTTTGATCTAATTGAATCTACACTAGACAATGATTCTATTATTTTTGTGACATGTACCTATATGACTATAGTTCATTCTTTATAATGTTACCTTAACCAACTATCATAAAATTGAATAAATAGTATATGACCATATTCTAATATGCAATAGTCTATATCATTAATATCAAAATTTTTTTTTTCTACTAAAAACAAGTTGAAATGACATGGGAACTTAATAATTAAATCAAAATTTCGTGACAAAATCTATTAAATTCTCTCTGGAAAATGCAAAAAAAAAAAAAAACAAATATTATTTCTTATTCTACAAATTAGTAAAATCAAAACAAAAAAATAATGATAAATTATATAGATATATATATATATATATTTGGAATAATTTAGATTCATTCAATTAATTGGCTTGATCAACAACATTTTCTTTCAATTGATAATGATAATCAACGTATTCGTATATGGAATATACAACGAAAAGAAATTCTCAATGAATTAATATCATCTCAAAGTAAACTTGAATATTTACATGTATATTTATTAACAAAAAATGATTTAAATAAAAAACAAGAATATTTAATTATTGGTAAATCAAAAACTGAACGTGATTTATTTATATTTGAATATACACAACCATATGATGATCAAACTGATTCATCGAATATTTCTGTTTGTTAATTGTGTATTGTGACATTTATTTTATCATGTATATGAACTTCGAGATACAAAAAAAAAATCAAACAAACGATCATATTAGATCAGATATATTAAAATTGTATTTGTATGTGTATGTTTTTTCTATTTTTGTTATTAAATCTCTCGATATCAAAATCAAATAAAGAACATAAATTTTCATTTAATAATATTAAATATAAAAAAAGAACAACATAATAATAATAATAATTTCTTCTTATATATATATTTATTGTTCTTTCAAACATTTGAATTTTTTATTTTTTACACTATTATTATTATATATTATAATTGATATTCATAAGAATTTGACAAAAAACAAACAAATAACACAATATATGACATGAGAAAATCAATGGTAATTTTCAAAATAATTATAGTCAATGAATATTTAATCTATCCTTCTGATTAAACACACTCTATGGAATTAAAGTGCTGCTCCAAAAACACATCTGTTATTGACTGTCAATTTGATTTAATGGTAGAGACGTAAAAAGAAAATAAATGAACTCTATACTACTTGATATAGAAAATAGAAAGTGCTTATGGAAGTCTTTTTTTATTAATGAGTCTAATTTTCTTTCATAAAAAGAGTATTATATTGTTCAATATGTGAACACTTTAGTCGATATAAAAGCCGTCAAAAAATCAATTTCAGTGCTTTTTATTGTCAATACTGATCGTTCGTGGTTTTTTTTTTTTTGTATTTCATTCCAATACATACTTCAATCAATTGATGTTTATGACAAAGAAAATCTGACGATGAAATATAGATGAATTGAGTTTGTTACTTGTCGAATAACTGATTTTTTTTTCAAAATTATTATATCTCAATTAATGACATGTCTAATTGTTGTCAATCGACTTTTTTTTTTTCTAGTTTTCTCCTTCTTCGTATTTTGTTGTTGTTATTGTTCTATCGACTTCATATTTTTTTTCCCTTTTGCACAAGTAAAATAATTTGCGTGTCTATTGTCGTCATTGTTCATCGAAATGATAATGGTAACTACATCTATGATAGAAATGGTTTTTCCTCATCCTTTATTAATTCTAATATAATCATAAAATAAGAGAAAAGAGAAAGAGAGCAGACACAAGCTAACAGAAAAAAAAATGATGAAGATGATTGCAGATAGAAAAGAAAAGTTGTTATAAGGACTATCATCACTAACTCTTATTCTTTTATATAATTCTTACTTAGTTCTATTATTTTATTTCTTTTTATAATAATATTCTTATTCAATTATTAAAAAGATACAAATATATATATATATATTCTTGATATGACATGATATTTAAAATAATCAATGGATAATTTTGATATATTATCATCATATTCAACAACAGAATATGATCATTTAAATTTTGTTCATTATGAAAATATATCACCATTATCAACAATAAATGAAACAGATAATTTAATATCAATAAATACAAATGAATTAAATTGGCCTGTATTAATTTTATCTATATTAGCTATATTTGGTATTGTTGGTAATTTATTAGTATGTGTATCAATATCACTTGATAAACAATTACAAACTGTAACAAATTTTTTTCTTTTCTCATTGGCTATTGCTGATTGCCTTCTTAGTCTTGTTGTTTTACCACTTGCAATTATAAAAGATTTTCAGGGTAAGTTACAAGATTTTTTTTTTTTCTTTTATTGATATATGTTTTATCATTTTGTTTTTTTTTTTCTATTTCTTTTGATATTTATGAAAGCATAAGAATAATTATTTCTATGTTAATTACACTAGAGATGAATTGAAAAAAACTAATGAAAAAAAATGTTATTAAGGATGCAGTCTTCTTTTTTAACACGTTAAGAACAAGTAATGTTCTAAGAAGTACTTTGTTTTTTTCCTTTATATGCATATATGTAGGTGTAGGATTACTTTCATATTCATGAATATATATGAATAAAATTTACTGAAATTTATTATAAATGATGTTTCAATATATACATATATATCATATTTAATAGATTATCTTCAAACATGTAAATCCTTTAATGTTAAATAATCTTTTAAAAATTTCAAAAATTTTGAATAAATGAATTATCGTATAGAGTATATAATGATTTCGTATTATATATATAAAAAAAAAAAGAAATTAATATAAATAATTCTATGATTGAAAGATTTAATATTAAATTATAAAATCTTCGTTACTAAGTTTATTTAAATAGATAATTCAATGTTACAATTTATTAATAAATAGATTAAGGTCATGTGACATTTTTCTTATAATATGATAACAAAAAAACAAAAAATCTTCTACACAGTGTTTAATTAAATAAATATAAATACTAGAACATAGCATGAATAAATATTTTTTGTTCTAGAGATATTTGATATATATATATATATATATTTCTATTTCTATTTTAATAATAATTAGGTTCATGGCAATTACCAATAATTTTTTGTAATCTTTATGTTTTTCTTGATGTATTATTATGTACAACATCAATATGGCATTTAACAATTGTTTCAATTGATCGTTTTCTTTATATATCACGTCCATTTCGTAGTCGAGAACGAAGTAAATTTAAAACATTTATTATTATTATTTTAATATGGACATTTTCAATTGCTATATCATGTACAATATTTATACTTGGTTTTATTGATGAAAATAATATATTAGTAATTAATCATGATCATAAACGATTATGTACATTAAATAATCGTTCATTTATAATATATGGTTCAATAATATGTTTTTGTGTACCATGTATATTAATGCTTGTTACATATTCATTAACAATTCGACGTCTACAAAAAGAAGCAGCAAAATGTTATTCAGATCCTGATGATCATTCAATAATGATGACACAAACATCAAATCGTTTAAGACGACATAAATCAACATCAAAAGTTCGATCATCATCACATAATTATAAAAAAAAATTATTAAATGAATTAAATAGTTCAACATCAATACCAACACCAACATCATCACGTTCAACAACATTACTTGTAACTGATAATAAATCAAATCATCTTGAATGGCCGTAGGTTTTTTATTTCATTTTTTTTTTAGCAAAAAAATTACTATTAAACTTTCTTGTAACTTATTTATATAGAATCCCATGAGAGATTATTCTTTAGTTATATATATATATATATTTATTCTATTCCCAATGAAAACTCATTCAAAGAAAAATACTAAAAGAATATAAATGAAACCTCAGTTGCATATTAATATTGACCTTGTTATGATTTATTTCTTGTTTGTTTTTTTTTAGTAAATCATCAAGATCATCATTAACTTCAAATACACCAAGTACAAATCAACGTTCATTTCTTCATAATACATTTGTACAAAAAGCAGTTCATGCATTTAAAGGTGGTACAGAAACTACAAGTGAACGTCGAGCAATGAAAGTTTTAGGAATTGTATTTTTTGTTTTTCTTATTGCTTGGCTTCCATTCTCAATATTAAATATTCTTTCAGTTGTTTGTCCATCATGTGGTATACAAATATCTTTATTAAATTTAACTAGTTGGCTTGGTTATATTTCATCAAATTTAAATCCAGTAAATAAATAAAAGTTTTCTTAATTAATTAATATTTTCTTTTTGTTTTTTTTTTTATTGTAGATTATCTATACAGCATTTAATGTTCGATTTCGTCGTGCTTTTGTATCGATATTAACATGTCAATTAAATTATTTTTCTCACAAACGTAAACGTAATAATTTATATATATTTATTTCTTCAAATAATAATCAATCATCAATGTCTACTGATCAACAACAACGATTTTTTTCTTTACATCGTTCACCTAAAAAAAGGAATAGTTTTACTTAAAATTTTTTCTTTTCTTTTTTTTTTTTTGTTTAATGCATGTTTAAATGCGTTCTTTTCATATATACAAATGTTGATGAAGATTGATTTCAAAAGAAAAAAAAAAAAGAAATATAAAAAATATAAAAAAGGAAAAAAAGAAAGTAAGAAATAAGAGAGTATTTTTGTCAATCAATATTTGTCTTAGACACAACATTTGTCAGGTGAAACTTGTTAATGTAAAAAATAAATTTAAGTATTGATAAGCAATGGGAGTTGTCGTTTCAAGTAAAATTAGACAAATATGTTCACCTTATGATGAACCATCAGCTCGAATAATAATTGTTGGTCTTGATTCAGCTGGTAAAACAACATTAGTACAAAGATTTAAAAATTTAGTTGATTTACAATTGGATATACATGCATCTTTTATTGAATCTATTACAACGGAACCAACATTTGTTTATGAAGTTGAAAATATTTATCCACGTCTTTCACCAATATCATTTAATATATGGGATTTAGGTGGACAAGAAAAAACAAGAGAATTATGGAAATTTTATCTAACTGATATTCAGGGTATGATAAAAAACAAGATATTTAAGACTTCATTATAGAATATGTCAAGTTTTCATACATCCTGAACTTTAAAGATTTTTTTTTTGTTTTTTGCACTGTAAAGTTTTATTAATAATATTTTTTTCCTCCCCGAATTTATGACACATACTTGACTATAGACAAAAATAATTTTAAAATTACGTTTGTCTACTCAAGTATGTATTTTAAATCTGAAAAAAAGAAATTTATAAAGTTAAATAGACGAAGAAAAAAAAAAAAGAAATTCAAGATTTCTTTGAAAATTAGATAGGCATTTTTTTTCTCGATTAATCAGTACACTCTACTTAATCATGCACACAAAGTGAAGAGAAAAAAAATGTAGCGGAAATTTTAAGTTGGATATATTTTATAAGTAGATAATGTGTTATAGGAGTAGAAAAAAGGAATTTTTCTATTAAAAATTCAAAAATAATCAAATTATTTTCATTATCTTTAAGATAGATATGAAATAATTATAAAATTTAATTAATCGATTTTTGTAATGAGACTTCATTAGAGTCTAAATTTTAGATTTACAATAGACTTGATTCTTTTCGAAATGATATATATTAATTTTTCTGTATTTTCATCATT